GCGAATGCTTAGAGGCGTCTTTTCAGTAATCTCCATGGTTCGTTTACAAATGCATGGCGGTGTTCTTTCTACAACTTCTGCAGTGAACATGTAAATGCATAGAGAAGTTTATGTTCACCATTTTTAGTATTCAGCATGATTTGTTGCAAACGTTTGGCGGTGTTTTTTATGGATCCGTTTTTGCAGGCTGCAGTACCCTTTCGGGCATGGTTCAGTACAATTAGGGCATGCCTTGTTTGGATTTACTTATAATGCAACAAGCAAATTATTCCTGCACGTTACGTTCATAACTTGTTATCTCGAAATTAATCCAAGGTCGAAATCACCAACAATTAGGACAATGCTTACAACAACGAAGTAGCGCGACGCTGGATATTGAGTCCTGCACATTAGGTTCAAACATTGTAATCAAATTAGTTTCCATACGACAGCAATTACAAAAGCCGGCTTACCGAAGGAAATAGCTCGTGGTAGGCTACAAATTTCTGCATGTCATACGAGACATTGTTGTGAAATTAGTCCGACGATCAAATGACCAGCGAGACTTACAATTGGACTTACATGGGGAATTATCTCGATGTTGGACAGAGTTACATGGCTAGCTGCGATAAAGACAAGCATCATGAGGACACATGTGAATCATTAGTTTGATTGATACGTCAAGTACCAACAAATGCCTTCAACCCCAATGGCGCATTAGCTCATGAACATGCAGATAAGAATGACATGGGTGAACAAGACTAGTCACCTATGAGCTGCTTGAAACGATAGACCATCGTGAAACGAGATCCTCAGCATAGGGCACACTAAGAACGACCGTGGTAATTGAAGCCTGTGGGAGAGGAAGGAGCTGCTCACTAGGGGGCGCGAAGGCGAGAGCGGGAGTTGAAACTGATGCAGATAGAACTCCCGAGGACTATTATTGTAAGTGACGTCTAGCTGGAAGGCATGAGAGGGTGCAAGGGGGCAAGTAAGGAAGGGATCAGAAGTGTGTGGTGGGCTGGAGTGCTGGCATGTGGGGTGCAGCGTGGTGGGCTGGGTGGTTGGGGCGAGGAGGTGGTTGAGCTGGATTAGCCGCTCTGGAACCGCTTGGCAGATTTTGATTGGTTGGACGAGGTGCAGGGGCTGAGTTGGATGAATAAATTTTGTTGGGTTCGGTTGCAGGTTTGGTAGGGGGCGGGGGTGTGTGATTGGTCAGCACGTCATTTTGTGAATAGGGGCATGTTTCTACAGACCCGAATATCAAGCAAATAGGAGCTGAAATTTTGGATCCCAGAATCCGCGCGCTCTATAGCACGCTGTAATTTGCGATCAATTCGGTTCAGTTCGGTATTCACAAATTTCATAAAGCCGTGTTTCGCACCGATTCCGTTGGACTATGCCCTTCTTGGTGGTTGGATGGAGGTGTTGTAACCAACACTTGTTACTGTATATGCTAAAACGTTTTCGATATATCTCAGTGTGTGTCTTGGATTTGTTTAGTAGATTAAATCGCTTTCCATGGGAACTTGGCTTTCTGAATGTATCTAGACTAATATGACTTTATGCTAAAGATAAAAAGCTACTCTTGTTGCTAAAATTGGTGCCAAGTTCATGTACTCTTACAGAACGACCGACAAGTCGTTCATAACCTGAAAAGGTCGCATATATATGTGGCAGGAACAATGTAACAAACTTGAGGGAGAGAAATTGCGACCCCAAAATTCAATTTGGCTTTACAACCCTGGACCAACTCAGTTGCAAGGTGTCGTTCATATATGTAGGGTTACATAATTTCCATTTTCTGCAGCCGTCGTAGATGATGCTAGAGAAGAAACATGGTTAGCATTTGCCAATAACGACTGAATGTCTGAATGCGTGGCCGCACGGAGATCACCCACAGAATGTGGTTTGTTGAGAGATGCACGGGGGAGTGAGTGGATAGGTTTGGGGTGAAGTCTGGCTTTTAACGGAGAGGTTGTCCAAGGTGAGCTTGACTGGCAATCATGTGCCACCCGGTAGGCTGCGAGAGAGTGGGGAGGAGGGGAGGGGGGGAGGGAAGGGGGGGGAGGGGGGGGAGAAAGAGATGGGGGCATACGTTAGTGGGGGGGCGGGGGGTTGAGAGGGGTTAGTTATAGAGTGTTTTCTGCCTGTCCTGTTGGTGCAACCTTATGGCTTGCACTCGGCTTGTCGTCCTTGTTTGTGTGTGTGCATGCATGGCATGGAATGAATTGTGAGTCTATGTCATTGCTATCCAGTGCTTTGTGTGTGTTTGAATGGTGTATCACAATGTGGTTTGTGTCGGTCAAGACATTAGCGAGTTTTTACAACTCGCATGTCAAGTCGTCGTTTGTGTGTCGCATGTGTTTTTTCTATTTTGTCGAGTGTGAAGTGTCCATCGTGTTGCAGGTGTGTGCAGCAAGCCCCCATCAACTCAAGAAGAATTTATCTTGCAGATCCAAGAACAAGAGCTCAAGATTTCAAGCCCAAGGGACGCGGATAAATATTAAATAGTGAAAATAGTAACGTTACTTCGTGTAGTGTTACATTTCACTTGGTGTAGCCCCTTGGAGGGTTGGTTTCGAGACTCTTCATGGTTGGGGACTCTGTGGTGGTGTACCACCAACCTGGACCTCGGCTCTTGGGGTATGTAGAGGCTGGGAACCATCTCCCTCTCGAACTCTTCTTGCTAAGTTTGTACTTCCAAGACTATAGTGGCTGCTATTCCTCCTGCCAGTCAAACCGCCATAGCGTCGTCAAATCTTCATGGAAATTCATGATTCAACTTGCTGCTGATAGACGACAGCAACGCGCTCCAGATCCAACTTACAGATCACAGTTTGACTCAGCCAGCAGATCGTTATCAATATTTGAAGCCGTCTGACGGAAATCCGACTGTGCTCTCTATCTCTCATTATAGGCACATCTGAGCCTATTGTGACTATAACAAGTGGTATCAGAGCCCCTTGGAGCCGTCTCGACCATGCCTAGACCTGAGGAAGGGGGTGGCAGAGGTGCTGGAGGCAGAGAAGACGCCCAAGCACAAGGTCAACACCAAGATCCACCCGTTGCTCCGGTGCAACCTAGCCTTGGACCCTCTAGGGATGAGCCTAGAGTGTTTGGCCTTGACAAGTTCAACGGTGACAACTTTGCTGAGTGGTCCTTCAAGATGGAGAACATCTTTGACCACTATGATCTGCTGGAGGTGATGGAAGGAACGGAGAAGCGCCCCGAGAACGACCCGGAGAAGAGCCCGTGGGTGCGGAAGAGCGCACAAGGCTACCTTCTACTTGGGCAAGCGTTGGGGAGCAGCCAAATCCGTCACATCAAGCCTTTTCAGCGTGAACCAGCAAAGGGACCAAAGGCATGGGCTGCTCTCAAGGGTGTACACGCTCCTGCAACAGCGGCGGTGGCTGTGGTTTTGGAGCGGCAAATGGCGGCACTTCGAATTGACGAAGGCGAACCGGTGGAGGAAGGAGTGCAGAAATTCTTCGACTTGTTGACACGGCTCGAAGGAGCTGACCTGAACTACAGTGACCTTCAAAAGAAGACCAAGCTGCTGGCCTTACTTCCGGACTCATGGTCCTCGCTCATCATCAACCTTAATCGAGATCTGCCCCGTCTCTCACTCGAAGATGTGAAGCGGGAAATCTTACAAGAAGATTTCCGCCGTCGCGAATTGGCGGGTCCCGATGGTGCCGGAGTTGCAAGCATGGGCCGTGGGCACGGCCGTGGAAGGGGCAGAGGGCGAGGAGGAAGATTTGGCAGCAGTAACTTCAATGGAGGCCGTGGTAATGGAGGATATGGCAGCAACAACAACAACAATGGCTACGGGCGTGGGCGCGGTCGATTTGATGGCGAATGCCACTTTTGCCACAAGACCGGCCACATGTGGAGAGATTGCTTCAGATTGCCTGATGGATGGACCCCTTCTCAAGGCCAAGAGGGCAGAGGAGCAAGGGGAGGAAGAGGCAGAGGTCGTGGAGGCCGTGGTGGTCGTGGAAGCGAAGCGGCAAGCATGAAAGGTGGAGACTACGACAAGGACTCGAGTGAAGATCGATACCCGGGCCAATTCTTCTTTGTCTCCACGCAAGCGGCAGCTGCAGCAGGAGGTGTGGAAGGCTTTGAGGAGCCAGCTACTGTGGGAAAGGTCACCCTTCACTCTCTGGACTTTTGGGTGATCGATAGCGGCGCCACCTACAGCATGACACCTCGTGCGGACTTGCTCACCGAACTCGAACCGTCGCCGGTCAAGCATGTTACATCGGCTTTGGGGCAGCGAGCAGAGGTGAAGGGCATGGGCAAGGCCATGTTCAAGGGTGCTGATGGGAAGATGGTGGGCCTCAAGAACGTGCTTTTGGTGCCCAACCTAGCAGCCAACCTGATTTCCGTTCGGCGTTTGCAAAAGGCCGGCATGGACACATCTTCCAAGGGATCCAAAACCTATACCGCAAGGCTTGGTGAGCGGAAGCTTTGGGACCTTCATGAGGACAGGGACATCTACAATGAGATGTGGCAAATCCCAGTGGTCCCCATGCCTAAAGAGAGGCAAGTGGCAGCAAGCGTCAGCACCAAGCGTGAAGCGGTTGGTGGCGGTGATCACGGAAAGCAAAGTGACACCAAGAGTGACTCGAAGGAGTGCAACCTTGGAGAGACCAGCAAGGCGTGTGAACCCAAGGAGAATGGTGCAGCAGCCAAAGGTGGTGGAAATGAGGAGGAGAAGGCTAAGATCAACAAAGCAGCAGCGGCGAAGGAGAAAGGAGAGAGCTTGTGGGGCACAATTGCGAGTGCCGCTTTCTCCAACCCGACTTCCGCTACGGGAGAGTGTGATTGGCTGACCTTGCATCGGCGAATGGGGCATGTGGCATTGCCCATTTTGCAGCAGATTGTTAAGCAAGAGATGGTCAGTGGGATACGTGTCAAGGGGGAGCCCAATGAGGTGCTTGGCTGTCCAACATGCATGCAAGCCAAGTTCACCCGCTACCCGTTCCATAGCTCGGAGACAACGGCGAAGGCACCACTTGATGAGGTGGTGATGGATGTGGTGGGCCCCTTGAAGCTTGGAGCTGCTGGAGCAGAGTACTTCCTCACCATTGTGGACGTCTACACTCGCATGACTTGGGTGTATGTACTGCCCAAGAAGAGTGACGTAGCTGAAACGGTGAAGACCGATTGGTTGCCGATGGTGGAGCGGCAACAAGACCGACTTGTGAAGGCGATTCGCACTGACCGTGGGGGAGAGTTCCTGAGCAAGGATTTCTCAACTTGGCTGAAGAAGCAGGGCATAAGGCACTCTCTTACCATGCCCTACTCTCCTGCAATGAACGGCATCGCCGAGCGTGCGAATCGGACACTCACGGAGACGGCTCGGGGACTTCTCATTGAAGCCGGTCTACCCAATTACTTTTGGCCGGATGCGGTGCGGCATGCTTGTGTGGCCAAGAACAGAGCCTTGACTCATGTGGGAGAAGACAAATGGGTGCCCTATGTGGAGTGGATTGGAAGGAAGCCGAAGGTGGATATGCTTCGGGTGTTCGGGTGCATGTGCATGGCACTTGTGCCTAAGAAACTTCGGCACAACAAGCTTGATGCCAAGGCAACATGGGCCGTGCACCTGGGCATGGCCCAAAACAGCAAGGGATGGCTTCTATGGGACCCATTTACCAAGAAGTTCCTGGTGAGCAGAGATTGCAAGTTCATGGAGAACTTACCGTACAAGGAGTGGAAGGCGGAGAACCAAGCGAATATTGGTGTGCGGCTTGGAGAGGTGAAGAGGACCGGCTTGGAGCATGTGGAGCTGCCCTTGGAGCTGAGTAGCAGCAGCACAATCACGAGGCAATCTCCCCAAATGAATGGGGATGAGGAGGAGGAGGAGGTGCAGCAAGGTAATGAGCGTGCACCGCCACTTCCGCCTCGTGCTACAAGTGCTCGCGGGAACCGACCGGACTTACCGCAAAGCCATGAGAGCATTCAAGTCCCTGCAGCAGAGGAGGAAGGAAGGGGGAGAAGGAGGACTCAGCCCCCCAATAGGTTGAGCTATGAACGGCTTGGAGGACCAGCCAACTCAACCTTGACCGGTTCGGCTCTCATGCTAGGTGATGATGCGGAAGATGAAAGCGAGGAGTGCGCCTTTGCCTTCTTCTCTCCGGTGGAGATGCCGGGGGAGCCTACAAATCCCAAGGAGGCTTGGGAGGGCCCCAATGGGAAGGAGTGGAAGAAGGCCTCAGATGAAGAAATGGGGAGCATCATCGAGAACGACACGTTTGACTTGGTGAACCTACCTCCGGGGCGTAAGGCGATTTCTTCCAAGTGGCTCTTCAAGCGCAAGACCGACGCCGACGGCAACATTGAGCGCTACAAGAGCAGACTTGTAGCCAAGGGGTACCAGCAGCAGGAGAAGAAGGACTACAATGAAGTGTATGCTCCTGTGGTGAAGGGTACAACCCTTCGAACTCTCTTCGCCGCGGCGGCCATCAAAGGATGGGTGGTGAAGCAAATGGACATTGTAACGGCCTTCCTCAACGGCGTTTTGGAGGAAGAGACCTACATGGAGCAGCCAGAGGGGTACAATGATGGGAGTGGCAGAGTGTGGAAGCTGAAGAAAGCACTCTATGGCCTCAAGCAAGCCCCTAGGAATGGTACATCAAGCTGCGGGAAGTCTTGGAGGCGATCGGCTTCACTCCCTCAACGGCCGATCAATCCTTGTTCATGCTTGGCGAGGGGGAGCAGAGGAGCTTCATGGTGGTTTATGTGGATGACATCCTCATTTCTCACCCTCCTCTGACCTTGTGAAGGAGGTGATGCTGAAGCTTCAAGACAAGTTCAAGTGCAAGACCCTTGGTGACGTCAACTACTACCTTGGGCTTCACATTGAGCGAGATGTGGAGAAGCGGTGGATGCGAGTGCATCAAAAGAAGTACTTGGAGGCCTTGGCTGCAAACTTTGGGAAGAGTGAAGGTCATGTGGCTACTCCTCTACCCTCGGGTTCAAGTGTGTGAAAGGACCAGCGGAGGAAAGTGTTGGTGAAGAGGAGAGGCGGCGTTTTCACTCCTTGGTGGGCAGCCTCATGTATGCGGCCGTTCACACAAGGCCGGATGCAGCCTTTGCTACCGGGCAGCTGGCTAGGGTTGTCCAATGCCCTAATGAGGAGCAGGTAGCAGCTGGAGAGAGGGTGGCCAAGTACCTTGGCCAAACAGCAACTGTTGGACTGCAATACTCCGCGGCGGCACAAAGGCGTCAAAAGGGTGCGGATGGAGTCGAACCCGGGAGGCTCTTTCTCACCGCCTTCTCTGATGCATCTTGGGCATCAGAACCAGAGGACATGACAAGTGTGGGAGGCTTCATCTGCTGTGTTGGTGGAGGCCAACAGCTTGGGAGAGCAAGAAACAAGTGGACCAAGCATTGAGCTCGGTGGAGTCCGAGTACATGGCACTCTTCCGTGCCATAAGAGAGGTTGTGTGGCAGCGGCGTTTGCTAGCTGAATTGGGGGAGGAGCAGCAAGGACCTACCCCACTCTACTGTGATAGCCAGGGTGCTATTGCATTGGCTAAGAACCCCGTTCTTCATGGCCTTACCAAGCACATGAAGGTGAAGTGGCATTGGGTGAGGAGCATGGTAACCGCGGGTGAAGTGGAGTTGCACTACGTGAAGACGACGGCGCAGCCTGCTGATATGATGACCAAGAGGCTGGTTGAGCAGCAGCATTGGAAGTGTTGCAAGCTTGATGGGATGGCTCTGAACTAAGGGGAGCAGATTCTAAGGCCAACAATCCAAGGGGGAGTTTGTTGGTGCAACCTTATGGCTTGCACTCGGCTTGTCGTCCTTGTTTGTGTGTGTGCATGCATGGCATGGAATGAATTGTGAGTCTATGTCATTGCTATCCAGTGCTTTTGTGTGTGTTTGAATGGTGTATCACAATGTGGTTTGTGTCGGTCAAGACATTAGCGAGTTTTTACAACTCGCATGTCAAGTCGTCGTTTGTGTGTCGCATGTGTTTTTTCTATTTTGTCGAGTGTGAAGTGTCCATCGTGTCGCAGGTGTGTGCAGCAAGCCCCCATCAACTCAAGAAGAATTTATCTTGCAGATCCAAGAACAAGAGCTCAAGATTTCAAGCCCAAGGGACGCGGATAAATATTAAATAGTGAAAATAGTAACGTTACTTCGTGTAGTGTTACATTTCACTTGGTGTAGCCCCTTGGAGGGTTGGTTTCGAGACTCTTCATGGTTGGGGACTCTGTGGTGGTGTACCACCAACCTGGACCTCGGCTCTTGGGGTATGAAGAGGCTGGGAACCACATCCCTCTCGAACTCTTCTTGCTAAGTTTTGTACTTCCAAGACTATAGTGGCTCCTATACCTCCTGCCAGTCAAACCGCCATAGCGTCGTCAAAGCTTCATGGAAATTCATGATTCAACTTGCTGCTGATAGACGACAGCAACGCGCTCCAGATCCAACTTACAGATTATAGTTTGACTCAGCCAGCAGATCGTTATCAATATTTGAAGCCGTCTGACGGAAATCCGACTGTGCTCTCTATCTCTCATTATAGGCACATCTGAGCCTATTGTGACTATAACATGTCCTGCCGGGATCCCGCTCACACTTACTGCCCTCTCCCCCTCCCTTGCTTCATGCCACTCCCCCTCCTCTGTCCTCATGCCTCTCCGCCTCCCCTGCCCTCATGCATCTCCCTCTCCACTGCCCTCATGCCTATCTGCCTCCCCTCTCCTCATGCCTCTTTCCCTCCCCATCTCCTCCAGCTGTCCCTGCCTCTCACGCCCTCACGCCTCTCCCACTCCTGCTCTCACTCCTACCCCCCTACCCTCTCTGCACTCCATCTTTCCCCACTCTCCTGCACTCATGCCACTCCCCCTCCCCTACCCTAACACCCTCTCCCCCTCCCATGCCCCCCACGCCTCTTCCTCCCCCGCCCTCACGCCTCTTCCCCTCCCCATCTCCTCCAGGCTGCACTCTCCCTTTCCCCACTCTCCTACTCGTACCCCTCTTTCCCTTCCCTTCTCTCACCTCTCGCTCCCTCCACGGCTCTTGCGCCTTCCCACATCCCCCCTTATCACGCACCTCATACCTCAATGCTCTCCCATCTCTCCCCCTCCCCTACTCTTACGCCTCTCCCCCTCCCCTGCACTCACGCCTGCTCTCATGCCTCACTCTCTCCCTGCTCTCATGCCTCACTCCCTCCCTGCTCTCGTGCCTCACTCCCTCCTTGCACTCATGCCTCACTCCCTCCCTGCTCTCACGCCTTCCCCCCTCCACTGCTCTTGTGCCCCTCTCCCTCGCTCCTCGCATCTCCCCCTAGCTACTATCTGTTGTCTTCCCCATCCCTGCGGCCTCGCTTTCTTCCCTGCTGCTGCGCCTTGACCCTTGATCTGTTTTCATTCAATGAGAAGGCAGGGGATTGCGGCGCGCGAAAAAGCGGGTAACACGTTACAACGTGGGAAAGAGGGAAGCGACCCGCAAGAGAAATCAGGAAGCGGTCCGCGAGGTGAAGCGAGCGAAGCAAAGCGAAGGGAAGCGAAGCTAAGCGAAGCGAAGCTAAGAGAAGCAAAGCGAAGTAAAGCGAAGCTAAGCAAAGCAAAGTGAAGCTAAGCGAAGCAAAGAGAAGCAAAGAGAAGGGAAGCAAAGAGAAGCAAAGCAAAGCTACGCGCAGCTATGCGAAGCGAAGCGAAGCTAAGCGAAGCTAAGTGAAGCTAAAGCAAAGTTAAGCGAAGCGAAGTGAAGCTAAGAGAAGCGAAGCGAAGTGAAGCTAAGAGAAGCGAAGCTAAGCGAAGCGAAGCGAAGCTAAGCGAAGCAAAGCAAAGTTAAGCAAAGCTAAGCGAAGCGAAGCTTAGCGAATCGAAGCGAAGCTAAGCGAAGCTAAGCGAAGAGAAGCGAAGCGAAGCTAAGCGAAGCGAAGCGGAGCTAAGCGAAGCTAAGAGAAGGGAAGCGAAGCTAAGCGAAGCAAGGCAAAGCTAAGCGAAGCTAAGGGAAGCGAAGAGAAGAGAAGGAAAGAGAAGCGAAGCAAAGCTAAGCGAAGCTAAGCGAAGTGTAGCGAAGCTAAGGGAAGCGAAGCAAAGCGAATCTAAGCGAAGCGAAGCGAAGCTAGGCGAAGCTAGGCGAAGCGAAGCAAAGAGAAGCAAAGAGAAGCGAAGCGAAGAGAAGCGAAGCTAAGAGAAGCAAAGCAAAGCTAAGCGCAGCTATGCGAAGCGAAGCGAAGCTAAGCAAAGCTAAGGGAAGCAAACCGAAGCTAAGGGAAGCGAAGCGAAGCTAAGCGAAGCTAAGCGAAGCGAAGAGAAGCGAAGCAAAGCGAAGCAAAGCTAAGTGAAGCAAAGCGAAGCGAATCGAAGCGAAGAGAAGCATAGTGAAGCGAAGCGAAGAGAAGCGAAGCTAAGAGAAGCACAGCGAAGCTAAGCGAAGCAAATCTAAGCTAAGCGAAGTGAAGCTAAGTGAAGCGAAGCAAATCGAATCTAAGCTAAGCGAAGCGAATCCAAGCGAACCTAAGCAAAGCGAAGCTAAGCGAAGCAAAGCGAAGCTAAGCAAAGTGAAGCGAAGCTAAGCAAAGCTAAGCGAAGCGAAGCGAAGAGAAGCATAGATAAGCGAAGCGAAAAGAAGCGAAGCTAAGAAAAGCAAAGCAAAGCTAAGCGCAGGTATGCGAAGCGAAGCGAAGCTAAGCAAAGCTTAGCAAAGCGAAGCGAAGCTAAGGGAAGCAAAGCGAAGCTAAGCGAAGCGAAGCCAAGCGAAGCTAGGCGAAGCGAAGCGAAGCCAAGCGAAGCTAGGCGAAGCGAAGCGAAGCCAAGCAAAGCTAGGCGAAGCGAAGCAAAGCCAAGCGAAGCTAGGCGAAGCGAAGTGAAGCTAGGCGAAGCTAAGCGAAGCAAAGCGAAGCTAACCAAAGCTAAGCGAAGCTAAGCAAATCTAAGCAAAGCTAAGCGAAACTAAGAGAAGCGAAGCAAAGCTAAGCGAAGTGAAGCGAAGCAAAGTGAAACGAAGCAAAGTTTAGCTAAGCTTAGCGAAGAGAAGCGAAGTGAAGCCAAGCGAAGCTAAACGAAGCGAAGCGAAGCAAAACGAAGCTAAGCGATGCCAAGCAAAGTGAAGCTAAGCGAAGCAAAGCGAAGTTAAGCGAAGCTAAGCGATGCTAAGCAAAGGGAAGCGAAGAGAAGCAAAGCGAAGCCAAGCGAAGCTAAGCGAAGCTAAGAGAAGCAAAGCCAAGCGAAGGTAAACGAAGCTAAGCGAAGCGAAGCGAAGCTAAGCGAAGCTAAGCAAAGCGAAGCTAAGCGATGCTAAGCGAAGCGAAGCGAAGAGAAGCGAAGCGAGGCAAACCGAAGCTAAGCGAAGCGTAGCTAAGCGAAGCTAAGAGAAGCGAAGCAAAGCGAAGGGAAGCGAAGCTAAGCGAAGCGAAGCAAAGAGAAGCATAGAGAAGCGAAGCGAAAAGAAGCGAAGCTAAGAAAAGCAAAGCAAAGCTAAGCACAGGTATGCGAAGCGAAGCGAAGCTAAGCGAAGTGAAGCGAAGCTAAGGGAAGCGAACCGAAGCTAAGGGAAGCGAAGCGAAGACAAGCGAAGCTAAGCGAAGCTAGGCGACGCGAAGTGAAGCTAGGCGAAGCTAAGCGAAGCAAAGCAAAGCTAAGCGAAGCTAGGCTAAGCTAAGCGAAGCGAAGCGAAGCTAAGCGAATCAAAGCGAAGATAAGCGAAGCGAAGCTAAGCGAAACTAAGCGAAGCTAAGCGATGCAAAGTGAAACAAAGCAAAGCTTTGCTAAGCTTAGCTAAGCTTAGCGAAGCGAAGCAAAGCTAAGGGAAGCGAACCGAAGCTAAGGGAAGTGAAGCGAAGCTAAGCGAAGCTAGGCGAAGCGAAGTGAAGCTAGGCGAAGCTAAGCGAAGCTAAGCGAAGCGAAGCGAAGCTAAGCGAATCTAAGCGAAGCAAAGTGAAACGAAGCAAAGCTTAGCAAGGCGAAGCGAAGTAAAGCTAAGCGAAGCTAGGCGAAGCTAAGCAAAGGGAAGCGAAGCTAAGAGAAGCTAAGCGAAGCTAAGCGAGGCAAAGCGAAGCTAAGCGAAGCGAAGCGAGGCTAAGCAAAGCGAACAGGAAGCTAAGCGAAGCGAAGCAAAGCTAATCGAAGCGAAGCTAATCGAAGCGAAGGTGAAGCTCTGCGAAGCTAAGCGAAGCGAAGCGAAGCTAAGCGAAGCGAAGTGAAGAGAAGCTAAGCGAAGCGAACACGAAGCTAAGCAAAGCTAATCGAAGCGAAGCCAAGCGAAGCTAAGCGAAGCGAACACAAAGCTAAGCGAAACTAAAAGAAGCGAAGAGAAGCGAAGCGAAGCTAAGCAAAGCGAACCGAAGCTAAGCAAAGCTAAGAGAAGCGAAGCGAAGCTAAGCGAAGTGAAGTGAAGCTAAGCGAAGCTAAGGGAATCGAAGTGAAGCTAAGCAAAGTTATGCGAAGCGAAGCGAAGCTAAGCGAAGCTAAGCGAAGCTAAGCGAGTCTAAGCAAAGCGAACAGGAAGCTAAGCGAAGCGAAGCGAAGCTAATCGAAGCAAAGCTAATCGAAGCAAAGATGAAGCTAAGCGAAGCGAAGCGAAGCTAAGCGATGCAAAGCGAAGCGAAGCGAAGCTAAGCGAAGCGAAGTGAAGAGAAGCTAAGCGAAGCGAACACGAAGCTAAGTGAAGCTAATCAAAGCGAAGCGAAGCGAAGCGAAGCGAAGCTAAGCGAAGCGAACACAAAGCTAAGCGAAACGAAAAGAAGCGAAGAGAAGCGAAGCGAAGCTAAGCAAAGCGAACTGAAGCTATGCGAAGCCAAGAGAAGCGAAGCGAAGCGAAGCGAAGCTAAGCGAAGTGAAGTGAAGCTAAGCGAAGTTATGTGATTCGAAGCGAAGCTAAGCAAAGCTAAGCGAAGCTAAGCGAAGCTAAGCGAAGCGAAGCTAATCGAAGCGAAGCTGAGCGAAGGTAAGCAAAGCTAAGCGAAGTGAAGCAAAGAGAAGCAAAGAGAAGCAAATCGAAGAGAAGCGAAACGTAAAGAATCAAAGCAAAGTTAAGCGCAGCTATGCGAAGCGAAGCAAAGCTAAGCGAAGCTAAGCGAATCTAAGGGAAGCGAACCGAAGCTAAGGGAAGCGAAGTGAAGAGAAGCAAAGAGAAGCGAAGCGAAGCTAAGTGAAGCTAAGCGAAGCAAAGAAAAGCATAGAGAAGCGAAGCGAAGCTAAGAGAATCAAAGCGAAGCTAAGCGTAGGTATGCAAAGCGAAGCGAAGCTAAGCAAGCTAAGCGAAGCTAAGGGAAGCGAACCGAAGCTAAGGGAAGCGAAGCGAAGCTAAGCGAAGCTAAGCGAAGCGAAGCAAAGCAAAGTGAAATGAAGCAAAGCTAAGCGCAGCGAAGCGAAACAAAGCAAAGCGAAGCGAAG